GTATTTTCGTTAACTGTTTAGAATTGTGTATCTCTAGTTTTTCAATTTCACTTCATTTTTATGCCTGATTTTTCCATCATGGGTTGAAAATGTATGTAATATTTTCGAGTTTCGCTTTGAAGGAATTTAATTTGATTGGTTACAGGATTTCATCATGAACCAACATCGGCTAAAGAACTGTTCAAAAACCTGGGAGTACTGGACAGCTGCCTCGTCCTAGTTTGGAACTCCTCATCAATACGCATCCACTTCCAAAGTGCGAACTGAGCACCTCTGGATTACAAGGCGAGCTCGTAAACCATCCAGCAGGTAGGACCAAATCCAGTGGTCTATCAATCCCAGCGTCTGTCAATTCACAATATAGCGCGACCGGCGCTAGCCAATATCATCCGTGGCGAGTGTCTGTCCTCACTTCCGACCTGCTGTACCCTACTGTTGACGAAGGAGATGCTCAGCACTCTCAGGTTTTTCAGCGGTCCTCTAACTGATATCGGCTCAAGACGTATTATTTGTCAGCCTATAAGCAGATCAGGAACAGTATTTTGCATGCAATCTGATTTCGCTCTTAATCATCATTTTTTACCGATGTTGATAACCGACGCTAATTGTATATATTTATCTTTTTAATTTCTCGTGTTCTGGAATGAGCAAGAAATGTATTATTTTACTAAAATAGCGTATTCCGTAACTGTTTAAACACTGTTTTCACAGGACTGGATTTCATTTAAAACATAAAGATGACACTTATTGTTTGTAGGAGTACACCAGAAGCAGAAAACTTACTGTTGAAATTCACCTAATGTTATGCTAATCATAAAATCTACAGTAGGAGATGAGGAAGATTAAACTGTCAGATTCATTGGATCTAGTCCCGGTGGCTAAATGGTCTACGAGCTCGCCTTGTAACCAGAAGGCGTACCTCGGTGGGTGCGTACTGTGAAGAGTTCCAAACTAGGACGAAATAGCTGTCCAGTAATCCCAGGTTTTCCAGTGGTTCTCTAACTGATGTCAGCTCATGATGAAATCCTTCAAGGGATTACAGATATTTCTTTGATGATTTAAAGGATTAATGGTACAATATGAAGACCTATATTTAGAAGAGTATATATATTTTATGAGCTTTTTTCCCATTCAATATGAAACGGACAAAGACAGAATATTGAGAATTGCACGGAAAGGCTATTTTTGTAGTATGTAGTATAACTATTCGTTATTTAATTACTCCGAAGGATATTTTTCTAAGAATCAGTAAGTATTCCAAAGAAATTAGAGTTAGTAAAACTGTCCAGATCATTTCAAGGAAGATTTTATTCATCATTTTGTCATCTGAAGGGGATGATTTACAAGTAGCTCGTGTTTTACGACACCAAGAGGCGGAAACATCAGCAATCTGCGAGAGAATAGCCTCTGCTCTTCAGAACGTATAAATGTGGAGATAACTTTGAGTGAATTTGGCATACGCACAGGCTTCTGTGTACTCATATGATCTTGCGTTTGCTCAAGTAGTTCAAAATTGCTGAAGTAAAAGTAACAGACAGTTGGATAATATTGGTCACTCGTCAACCAGTTTATTCACAACAGTCCTGCAGGTGGTCATTTCTGAACCGAAGTAACTCAATGGTATCGTCTGCTTGCACCACTGAGTGACTCCGATTCGAATCTAGGAGGTGACATCTGTATCCCGAAGGGTGTACTCAAGCAATGATGATGAGTGCTTACAAGCGTGAATCATTAGTGTAGGAATTTTTACAGATTACCTGCGACATTCTGAAACCATATAGACTACAGACATTATCATAGTGATATAAAGTCATCCACTGTTTTGCTGCAGATAGACAAACAGAAGGATGCTTGCGACTGCAAAGGCTTGTGCAATTAAGACGTCTGTATACAGGAAGAAATTGTGTTCACTTTTTAAGTCTGCTGTGGTAATATCTTTTATTTTGCTAAGTGTGCTTACTGCTATTTCATTCTATGGTATCTCTTACTATTGCTAATATGTTTGTCTTAATTAAAACCATTCGTAGTCAATACTATCTTAACTCGTTTCACTATTATTATTAAGCTTACAACTATTGAATGTTAGTTTTTCTATAACTATATCATACAGTGAAACAGTATTATTTACTGGATCACGTTTCGAACAAAATTTATTGTTCATAATCATTGCATCAATTATAATCACACAATTTAGAAACTTGAGTTCTATAGTTTCCTTTGTTCTCTCTAATTTTTAATCGTTGGGGTAGGAAAATTTTCCAGACATCTGACTGGACAGGTGTTGAATCATTCCTGTTTCACCTATTTGCAGTTAATTCGATAAACAAAGCTTCTGTTATCAATCTCTCCCTCCACCCTGCTGTTAAATTAGATCTTAAGACTGTCACCTTACCCCATCCTATTGTATGGCTGTGTGTAATTGCATGTAGTGATATGGCCGAACTATTCTCTAGATTTCTTATCTTATTCGAGTCAAGTATTCTAGATTTTGCTGTTAGGTGTTTATGCTCGGCTAGTCTGTTTGCACCTCTTCTACTACTTTGACTTCTGTGTTGGGCCTGATAATCATTGCAGGTAGGGTATTAGATAAGTTAAATTGTTTTGTTTTAACTGCTCCACAGGATCCTTTAACCGAAAAAGCAACCAACCATACAATATAATGGGATTAGGTGACAGTCTAAAAATCCAATGTACCAGCGTGGAGGAAGAAATTGATTTCGGAAGCTTTGTTTATCGAATCAGCTGCAAATACATGTGATAGGAATGATTCAATACATCTGCCAGATATCTGGAAAATTCTACTACCCCCACTACCATCAAATAGGAGAGAACAAAGAAAACCATAAAACTCAAATTTCGAATTCGTGTGATTATAATTGATATGATTATGAGCAATAAATAAATTTTGTTCAAAACGTCATCCAGTAAATAATACTGCCTCACTGTGTGATACATCTAATAAACAAACCAATATGGAATTACTTACTACCACAGTGCTGCCCAAGTTTTACCCACGTATTAAAACTTAAAACTATTATTCATTATGTAGTGGTGCAAATTATTTTTGATCCATTATAAACTTAATTTTTATTCTTATATATACATTCAGCCCTCCATCTTTCTCAGTTTACATTCCTAAATCCTTAATTTTGCCACCGTTTAGTCAATGTAGTTTGTGTATAAGTCGTTTACCGCCTTATGTATTCCTCGTAGTATACATGATACTAATTAGACTGCCCAAGCAAAAACGTCTACTGAACAACCGTTTCATCTTAGTGTAGACCTCTTTATCAATAAGCACCTAGGGCACCGCTAAGTAGCGCAGTGAAATCAGTTCATCAACAGTCACGAACTCAATCTGTACAGTTTTTTGAAATGCTGTTTTGCAGGGACTTGACTGACTACTGTTTCGCTCACAAGGTGACATAAGTTGGAGAACCACTGGAAAACCAGAGAGTGTTGGACAGCTGTTTCGACTTCGTCCGGGTCTCTTCACTAGTACGCAAATACTAGGGTTCGAACCCAAGGCCTTCTGGTTACTAGTGGAGGTCGTAGGCCATTTAGGCGTTGGAACTCGGTAAAATTTGTTATAAATTTCAACTTCTGCCAACCAGCGATGTATTTGACGCAAACGCCAAATGGCGTGACCCGTGACATCGACGAAGTCAGTTAAGAGGACAGTTACACATCGATAACATTAGCTAGTGGTTGCGCTATATACATCCCGAGTTCGCAGAAGCTAGAATTCATAGGTTGACCACTGGATTGGGTCCCAGTAGCTGAATGATCTACGAGGTCGCTCTGTAATGGGGATATCCTGTTTCCGAACCCCGGTGGTGGCGTACTGATGACTGTCCAGCACACTTTGCTTTTCCAACGGTTCTGTAATTAATGTCACTTTATGATCAAAACATTAATCAATTAAGTCCCTGCACATTGACATTTGAAAAAAACTTCTAATGATGTTCAGTAAATTCACTTTATCCTGATTTGTTAATATTCGTTAATTGTTTCAAATTCTCGCTGAAAAATAATCGTTCAAGTGCGAACGACATCAAAATGTTGAAAGTGTATATTTTGCATAATAACAGGTCCTAGTTGCTTCGAGAGTTTTCCAGAATCATTCAAGACTAAATAGTTGTATAATATTGTAATTAAGTCTAATTTTGTCTGCGAATTCCTCACCTGATCGCAGGAACTCAAGAATACGTCTAATTGACATTATGACATAAAAACAAACGAAAATTTATTCAATCATTCATACTGTTTCGACTCAAATAGAAACTGACTTTCAGTTGATAATTTCAAAAAAGGTTGAACATTTAAATGCCCACTCTCAGTAAAATAAAACAGGGTTAACTTACAAAGGAACAACACATGGGATGAAGTGTGGAATGAATTCCTCTCTAATTTTTTTTACTAAAACAAAATGGAAGGATTCGGCGAGCCTCTTTATTTATCCTTCTCATGAAATAAAGTCGAACAGAAATCAAACAATTTATCTAGGTAAATGATGCATATATTCGCATAATTATAGTTACATAATTAAATTGTCTTCTCATTGATGAATAAAGTGAGATTTCAAAAAATAGTTGTTCCTTGAAGCCATCCAAAATGTTTGTGCGTGTGTGCGTGTTGGTTTGTCACATCGTTGTCGACAATCTTCATTCAGTTTCAAGTACAATTCACAAATCCGAACTTCATGTTATCAAAAAATGGCTTCTGTGCATTAGGAAGACAGAATCCCCTTGCAAAAATTTACCGAAATCCAATTGTCCTTCTGTGGAATTGAGTTTCTTTTAGTTTTCGAAACGTTACTTACTGATGTGGTTGAATTCTACACTACTTGTTATTATGGCTGATTATATATATATATATTGTTTACTTTTATTGTAATCTTTATTATTTTAAAGGAATGTAATCAGGAAGTTAAACTGTACAATAGAATAGATTGACGCTATACAGTGTCAACAGATTGTCGCATGATGAACCACTCTCCTCTATAAACGTGTCAGTACACAGTGTTCCGGAGAATAATTCACATACTGATCAATATACGGAATAGGCTCTGTATTATTATAATTTATACCATTAATATTTGCATAGATAATTTCAGAGAAAATGTTATATTTATTTGAATAAAGTGATATTGTGTCATCATTGTTAACTAGTGTAGTAGGCGTCCATTCCAATGGATGATGTTGATACTGTTGGGATTGTGGTTGTGGCTTTATTTGGTGTAGTTGTTGTTGTTGCTGGTGCTGGTGCTGCTGCTGTAGTTGTCGTTGGTTGTCATGGTTACATTGGTGGTGGTATTGGTGACGGTGTTGATTTTCGAAATATTCCAATCTTTGTCTATACTTGACACGTTGTCTCCTTTTTCGCCAACCAACCACTCGACAGGTCAGTATCTCCCATAGAGTATCTCGGAATGTTGGCATAAACGCCAGATACAAGAAAAAGTCGAATGCATGATTGAATGAATCCACAGAACTAAATAACTTTGAATATTGGACAACTTTTTTAGCATAAGCTGGATATAATACATCATATTTATAAAAGTGTACCTCTTGTCTGAGTATAATTGTTACAACCAAGGGGATAGATAGACAGGTGAACAGAATACTGATAGCCAGATGAGCTATCACTTTACCCATTTCATTCTTTGACTCTTCATCTTTAGCCCCGATCAACTTCGATCGATAGACAATAGTACTCAACTTGTACAGAATAAGAATATTTGTAATGAATATGAATATGGCGGGGAGGATAGCTACACCAACAATATATAAGTAGAGAACGTATTTCACCCCACCAGCCAACGGATTAATATACTGGCATTCACGATTACTATTTATCGGTGTGATTTTTAAATCTGCAAATATTAAATGCGGAATATTCAACAGCAGAGATACCAGTGTAACCAAGACAATAATTACATGTGTTAGTTTTATGTGAGAACCTTGTTCAAAATACTTTGGATTATAAATGGAACAAACACGGTCGACACTGAATAACATTAGGATGAAGGCAGCAATCAGTGCAGATGCATCAGTTAAATAGGTTTGTACTTTACATATAAATGAGGACTGGATATCAACTTGTATTGACAGTTTACATAAGGTGGCGTATTTTAATCCACGACCTAGAAAATCATCTATGAGTGTATTAACTATTAATTGCATATTATGCGCTATAGACATCCATATAGCATAAAGATTGAAACGACATTTACTACGATGTTCAAGGACAGCGAAGACAATTACTACGAGAAAATTTGTTGGTATACCAATAATAACTAGAATTGGAGAGATATACGCTCGAAAACCGTAGACAAGACTTTCTTCTTTGGTTAAATCTGTTAAACATCCTTTAGTAGGTGACATAGTTGTGTAGATGAATACATGAAATAGAATATAATGATGAGTATTTGTTTATTGTTTAGTCATGTCAATAGGCGGAACTTTTAAAAATGCTTACGATAAATATACAAATATATATATATGCTGATAGTGTGATTCGACCATAGGCGAATAAACGCCATAGGCTTTCTGATTGGTCACCCTGTACGTATATATATGAGAATTAGAAATAGCAATATACACGCTAACAAAATAGCATTTTGTTCACTAATTTCTTTACGGATAATACAGTTTCACAACTCATCTGTTTACCGCTAGAAACAATTTAATATTTTCGTGAAAGATTCAAAAAGATTTTGAATGATATAAGAATAGAACTTAGGCACTGTGGTGGTAGAGTATAACTCCATTATGGATAAGATTTTATTTTTATAAATCACACAGCGTTTGTTATACAGTAATATTAACTGATCACGTTTCAAGCACAAACTATTGCTCATAATCATATGAAGGCACTCACTCGCACAACTTTTTTTCTTTCATTTATATACTTGAGTAAAACTGATTACACATTTGAATAATAGTCAGTGTAGGATAATGTACATTCAGAAATAATAATATGAGTGTTATTCATCAATTACAATCACATGGGAAATAAGATGAGTGTTTTTATAGTCAAAATAAGTAACTTGTTAGAATGTTATGATATACGTGAATTGAAATAGAATTTTAAGATTACCTATTATCCTCCTCTGGTTTGACTGGCTGTAATAAACGATGATTTGAGACATATAGGAGAAGCGTTGGTGTTAAGTAACCATCGTATAAAATTCATTAGGAATATCAAAAAGGTTCAAAAGTAAAATTAAAATAATGGGGAAACTAATAATGATGACACAAATAAGAGAGAATATAAGGCATCTACAGTTGTACCATATAAGGAGGGGACATCTAAAACTCTTCTTTCATAGCATTCTTAATAAAGCAAGAATTAGAGTGGCATTCAGACCTACAAACTCACTCAGGTAGGACAGGCTCTGTAGGCTAAAAGACCCGGTGGACCCAATTAGACAAAATAATATAATTTACAAAATACCCTCAATGACTGTGAGTTAAGTCAACTACATACGTTGAACTGGTAGGTCACAAGCAGTCAGATTATCAGAACATATGGATTAAGCTAAGGTAAGAATGGTTGACCCCACTCGCGAAGATAAGTAATTTGGAGAAAAACTCAGCGACTGCTCTGCATGCATCAAGACGCAAACACACAATAGTGTTGGAGAGGGTTAAAATCCTAAGAAGTAATCTATATAGGTGGAGAGAGAGGTTGATTACAGAATCCTTGTTCATTGAGTCTAAACCCAACACATGCAACAGAAATGACTAAATGCAAATACCAGAAATATGGAACATATTATTACCAACAGTCAGTCAAATCAGAGGAGGATAATGAATAATCTTAAAAATCTATTTCAATTCACGTTTATCATAACATCCTAACAAGCTACTTATTTTGACTATAGAAACATCTTATTTCCCATCTGATTGTATTTGATCAGTAACATACATATCATTATTTCCGAATGTACTTTATCTTACACTGATTTTTATTCAAATGTCTAATCATCAATTTCACTCATGTATATAAATGAAGTAAAAGTTGTGTGAGTAACTTGATATGATTATGAGCAATAGTTAATGCTAGAAACTTGGTCATCAGTTAATATTACTATATAACAACACTGTGTGACTTATCAAAATAAAATCTTATCTATAATGAAGATTTTGAAAGAGTTGTGTTCTCTGAGCTGGTTGATTTAATTGTGAAGCTTTCGTCATCTTCCCCCCCCCCTCTAGATAATATCTTAAAAGAAGTTTTTAATACAAAATAAACTCATTCTTCATGAATGACCAACAGTTTCGCTGTGAGGAACACCAACATATAATCTATCTAAAGAATGTTTCAGAAAATTAAAACACCTAACAGAATTATGAGACCATTCTGTCAGTTTGCCAATACGATTTTTAGAGAAAATCAAAAATATTCAAGTGGATGACAATGCCATAACGGTGTCTTTTGATGTTACAACAACAATCATCCCTGTACCCAAGTCAGGTTCTGGAAATAATGTTAAGTTTAGACCTATCGCTATTACCTCTCCTTTTTTGAAACTAATGGAGAAACTATTGTTACTAAAACTTGTTCCCTCCCTAAGTCTCTCAAAAGATCCAAAGCAGTTTGCTTACAAACAGGGTAAAAGTACTTTGGACGCTGCAGCTGTGTTTCATCACAACATTGTATCCTCCTTAGACAAAGGGGCGAAGTTTGTCCGTTGTACGTTCCTTGACTATACATCTGCTTTCGACTCTGTACCTAGAGGCCTATTGTTAAACAAGCTCAGCCTTACACAAACTGACCCCTGGGCTATCAACTGGCTACACTCTTACTTCTCTAATAGGATGCAGTACACGGTATATAATGGTGTATCTTCCTCTCGTTTGCTTACTGAAGCTGAAGTTCCTGAAGGGGGGTTTTCTCTCTCCGTTTCTCTATTCCCTCTTCTTACATGATTTACCTCTTTCAGACGAAATCAACTTCGTCAAATATGCTGATGACCTGTCTGTATCGTTTCCCATTAAGTCTCAGTCAGACTGTTTCAGTTAAACTGCTTCCTGTCGGACATCAGTCAGTGGTCTAAACTAAATGGTCTCATGCTGAATCCTTCAAAATGCCATACTAATGACTTCTCCCTTAGGCATAAACGAGATCTACAAACACTAGTAAGTACTCATGAAGCCTGTTGCATTCAAGGGACTAAAATTGAAACTATGTCTAATGCAAAATACCTCGGTCTAGTTCTATCTTCCGACTTTACTTGGACATATCATTTCCGAACGATTTCTAAGAAAGTGTTCTGTCTAATCTGCTACTTAAAGAAACTTAGGCAATCTGGAATCACCCAACCTCTACTTTCACAATTTGTCAACTCTTGTATCTTATCTACTCTACTTTACTGCTCCCCGTTAGTCTTTCCTGGTCTACTGAAAAAAGGTGTATACCATCCTGAGAAGGATGTTGGAGGTATTCAGTAGGACTAGTGGTGTAAAACTCAGTCAGCTCACCACTACACTAGTTGATAGGTATCTGAATACATGCGAAAAATGGTCGAAAAATATACTCTCCGACCCCCAACACCCATTCTATTCCCAACCCTCACCTTGTATCTCATCAAGTAAAACCAGAAATCAGTATAAAATAATCTATGCTCGTACAACCAAGTACAGGAACTCGACGATACCATACTTGGCCCGTGTTCTAAGCGACAGAGACAATGTTAAGTGCGAAACCTATGACTTGCTTTGTTAATAATAACATAGTTTTAGGCTCTTTTATTTCTTTCTTATTCAGGATTCTATAGTGAACTCCTTTTTAAACATACTTAGCTACCTAAATTATTAACATTGGCTTACGTTTTGTACTTAACTGTATTCCTTCTATTGTGTATCCACTGGTTCGGACTATATTAGCACTAAGAGTAGTACAAAATTTTCCTGTCATTAACCATCATGTAATTATTTGTCTTGTGGTTGCTTTTTCTTATTTTTTATTTTTTCGGCAATATTAAACTAACAATCATTGGTTGCGAACGCCATTATCACCATCTTAAAATTTTGTATTATGCAGGATTACACACACTGCATTAGACCTGACAATAAAAAACAAAACAACAAACCTGAAATGTTATTTTTTGATTGTTTAGAGTTGTTTCAACTAAATTAACTGATCAACTTGGCGATAGACATTCTTCACTATCATTTCATAACTTTTAGTATGATTACAGCTTTACTGTCACCATGCATAATCATATCATAGCTTCCACTACCCAATACTGAGTTATTATACGCTGTTTATTTTCCTTTCCACTTCTTGATATTTTTTGCATTTAAAAAAAAATTATTTTGTGTTTTTCCTGTTTGTATTGTTTTTATTTATTTTTTTGAAATACTCCTTTTAAATGTTTGATAAAATTAGACTCAAATATTGTAGATATGTGTTGAAAATTCCACACCGTACCTTGTAGTACTGTTTCTGGAATAAAGCAAGTTATTATTATTATATAACTCCTTGTCATCGCATAAAAGTATGTTCAAATATCTTATGTATTGCATCCCTTTTTAGTTTTATCCAGAATGCCGTCAACTGGAAGACACCCACGAAATAATCAAGGGCTCAAAATATCCCTGAACATTTATCGTTCTTGTTTTGATCAAGATCCCTTATATCTTTTAGTAACAGAATTAGTCTTCAGAAGTGGTGAGTTCCTTGCCATTCACTCCGAGATTTCTTTGACTTTGTCAAATCCGATGTTAACGTCAATGTTCCTAATTAAACCATGTTTTCACTAGTTGTGGTATCACTATTTACGAATGTCTCACTAACTGATACAATATGATACATATGCTGAGATATTGATAAACAGTAATATTTCCGCAGACTGTTTGAAGGAGCTCCTTTTAAGATGCATTCTAAATGTCGAAATCTCTTTTCATAATGATATATATCGAAAAAAGGATTCTGTAGCTTTCAGCTCACCACTGGACTCGATGCTTGCAGATTTTGTCGCGTCAAAACTCGAAAACAAATCTTTAAAGGAAACGACTGATACCTCTGAGTTTTACATGAGTTATGTGGACGATACTTTCATTATCCGCAGTAATGATTTTGGGGGGGACATCCTGAACATCATCAGTAGCTGTCACTCTGCAATCCACTTCAAATTAAAGAAGGAGTCTGACGCAAATATATCTTTCCTTGTGGTTCAATTAAACATGGAGTGAAGAAGATGGAATACTAAAAAGATCCATCTATGGAAAAACGATATGGAACGGACAACTAACTAGCTTTCATAGTTGGGTGTCTTTATATGCAAAACGAAAGCTGATCCGTTCACTGAGGCACAGGATCCAAAACATTTTTAGCCCTGGTACTATGGAAAAGGAGCTGAACACTCTGAAAACGT